GGCTGGCCAGGGATTGATCCCTCTTCCCTTCAGGGATCCTGGGTACCTCCCTTCTGGGCCTCCAGTCTCTCAGCCTCAGAAGACGGCAGTGGCAAAGCCTCCTCTGAAGAACTGACCAATAAAACTCCCTCAGCTTCACCCCCCACACCCGATCCTGGAGCCCCCAGACTGCCTGCTCTCTGGGAGGCTTGGGAGCCTGGAGCTCTGGCGCCCCAGGAAGCAGCCCAGGGTGGCACCAATGACGCGTACATGAACGTCATATGATTTACATATATATATATATAAAAGACCAGCTAGTGTGAACGACAAGCGTGTCAAAAAACACAAGAATGAAAGAGTTTTTAAAAATAATTCACTTCCATAGTGGGAACTAGGTATCGGCCTCAATCGAATCTGTGACTTGGTGTCAATATGATTCGCAAACTGGTTTAAGGGGGAATGAGCCCTGAGTTTGAATCCTATAATGGTAGCCTTGGTACCTTATTGAAATACTTGATATTCATCTTTATTTAATTTCCTTGTTGATTTCAGCCCACCAAATCAGTCTGTCAATAACGTCTTTCCTCTCTTCTACCGTACAATGGTTACCTCTCCTAAATTTCTGTCACCTATAAGAAGATCCTAAGGATCTGGAAACCAAATTGGGACAAGGCTGAAAGAGCTGAGTATGTTTACACTAAAGAAATTAAGATTAATGGGGAACAAGCCTTCAAATATACAGTTGTCCCTCCGTTTTTGTGGACTTAAGTCCGCGAACCTCACCTATCCGAGAGGGATGAACTGAGAAACATAAAATGGGGCACGCGCCTCCATTCAAGCCAATAGGGCTTGATTATTTCCGTTTTCCCTTTTTCGGAGGGGGGTCCAGAACGAATCCTCCATGAAAAAGGAGGGACGACTGTATTAAGAATTGTCAAGGAGAAAATAGAGTAGACTTCTTTACTGCTCCAAATGGTAGTACTAGAGGAAGTGAATGGAAATTGCAGCAAAGCACATTTCAGATAACCATTTGGTTTGATTTTGATTTCCTGCATGGCAGGGGGTTGGACTGGATGGCCCTTGTGATCCATTCCAACTCTATCATTCAATGATTCTATGATGCTATGGTTAAAAGAAACTTTCTAATGGTTGATGCTGTTCAACAGAAGGATAAACTTTGTTGGAAATCTTTGCTGCTGCAGGTATTTAAGCAGAGAGCAACCATCTTTCAGGGTTTCTGTTATTCCATCTTCCTCTCAAGTTCCATCAATGAATGGGCAGTTTTACTAAATGCTGTCTAATTGGAGGAGAAGAAGGAGGTTTTTATCAGGCAGGAAAAAGAAAAAACTAGAATAGCCAACAAGGGAAGTCTCCCCTGCATGATTACAAGATTAAAACCTCATTAGTTTACTTGCACAGGGCATGGAACTACAAAACAAGAAATGTGAGTTCAGGTTTCATTATGAAGAACTGTAGGAATATGGCCAAACAAGTGTTGTATTCTTGGCCAACAACAACTGTGTCACAGGGATAAGAGATGGAATTGGAAGATCTAGATTTCATTCTGTAGCAGGCTGGAGACATACACATTATCCTCTAGAACATGTTGGCCAATAGTCCCAGGAGCTACTGGCCAACCTGGGACTATTGGCCAACATGGCTGAGGCTTCTGGGAGCTGAAGTCCCTCATCCCTTAAAGGGGAAAGGCTGCCTACCCCTGCTCTAGAATGATGCTCAATCATCTGCTCAAATAAATTATATGTGGAAGCCTTGTTTTCTGCAGCAGCAGATACAACACATACATAAGGACTCAGGTTTTAATCTCATATGTGGCCTTTCAACCAAATAAGTTGAGTAGTAGTCTACATGGACAATTTGAGGGACACCAACCAACTAGGGAAGTGCTGTAAATTACAAAAATGGCAGTGACACAAACACTTTCTACAGCATTTCATCCCACCACATGTCTAATTTACCTACAGAAAACTGCTGGAAGAGTGTACTTTAGATCAGGAACACAGCTCTACAGGGATTGGGACAGTTACCCCTTTTCAATCAGTGATGCACCATGCCCCCCCCCAAAAAAACCCCTGCTTTTCCAAATATATTAGTGGCAAATCTGATTTTACTTGTTTTGTGTTCTTGCTGGGAGTAAGGCAAACCTCTCCCGAAGCTAGACTTTCCACATCTGCTCAACATCATGAAGAAAACATGTTGTACCACTTAACCTTCACCACATATTTCAAAGGATTGTTTTGATGCCAGAGCTGTCTTGTAATAGCTGTGAAAGAGATAAATTTCTCAGCGCCAAATATAAATCTTCCCACTATGGCTGACACACATAGAGGAAAATGCTTCCTATTATGGTAATCAAGCTGAATGCTCCAGTGACACAGGAGGTTTTTAATTAACAACCTGACAGTATTTTCCTGAACATGTTTCTTGTGGCAACTTTGATATATATATAAAAGCTTGGAACATCCTGCCTTTTCAGTTTGCATGAAGGGAATCTGTTAAAAGGCATGGTGATATGTTCTATTCCAAGGTAGGATTGTCAGGTCTCCAGCATCCCAAAGTCCCAGTAAGCAGAATTATAAGATTACCAGCTCATTATCTATCTCTTGGGGGAAAGCTGAGTATTGACCATCTCCCTCAATGACAGGGTGGTGGGTAAGTGAGGCATGAGTATTCATGTTGCCCCCCTCACTCTGCTCAGTCTCTCACAAATATTAACTATATGTGCTACTGTGCTCTGTCTGAAAGTTTCTATTTCCTTTTATTCTCCAAAACGCTCTTCCACTAGTACAGAATTCATTTCACATAAGATGCCACACAGAACAAGAGTGAAGCCCACCCCAATGACCAGCAATAGTGATCAAGATGCCCTAGCCATTCCTCCATACAGTTGTTCACCTGCTTTTCTAGGTAGGGGCCTTGCACCATTGGAAGCTCTGGACAGACAGATATGCACAGGTTTATATTGTTGTGTGCCTTCCTTTCTGGCTTGTGGTGGCCTTAACCTAAAGTGCAAAGGTACAACTCTGAACACTAAAGTGAGGTTAGTCCAATCACAATGTATAAATGTGAGAGTTGGAGAGTTGAAGAATGCTGATAAAAGAAAAATCAACTCATTTGAGATGTGGTGCTGGAGAAGACTGCTGATACCATGGATGGCCAAGAAGACAAACAAATGGGTCCTAGAACAGATCAAGCTTGAATTCTCCATGGAAGCCATGATTACTAAATTGAGACTGTCATACTTTGGTCACATCAGGAGAAGGCATGAATTCGTTAGAAAAGACAATGATGCTGGGAAAGGTAGAGGGCTGTAGAAAGAGAAGAAGACCACATGCCAGATGGTTAGACTCAATGAGGGGAGGCCACATCCCTAAGCCTGAAAGATTTCAGCAGAGTAGTCGAGGACAGCAGGGACTGGAGATGTCTCATCCATAGCATTGCCATGAGTCAAAGTTGATTCAAGGGCAGCTAACAACAAGGTCATGGAAGCATATCACAGGGCTTCCTTGGCAAAATTTGTTCAGAGTGGGGATGCCTTTGCCTTCTTCAGAGTCTAAGCCAGGGGTGCATGGGGAGCGCCATTTTGGAACACCCGGCGCATGGGCGGGGGGGGGCTTGGGAACTGGCGGGGGGGCCTTGGGAACGTAGGTTGCCAACCCCCCACACGTGTGTGCCATGCAAATTCGCCCAGCGCACGGGCGAGAGGGGGTCCTTCCCTGGGCCTTGGGAGCACCCCCTGCACGCGTGCCATGCGAATTCACCCAGCACACGGGTGGGGGGGTGTTCCCAAGGCCCAGGGAAGGCCCCAATGCGGCTGCGCCATGCGAATTCACATGGCGCAGCCGCCGTGGGGTCTTCCAAAATGGTGCCTGCGCTTGCACACGCATGCGCACAGTGGCGGATGCCATTTTGGAACACCCAACACGCCGGCATAATGCGTCATGCAGTCCCAAGGCCTCCGCGGGCTGCACCCGGCCTGTGGGCCGTAGGTTGCCGACCCCTGGTCTAAGCCCATGACTTGTCCAAGGTTACCCAGTGGCTTTCTATGGCTGTGTGAGGATTTGAACCTTGATCCCCCAGTGTCCTAGTCCAACACTCAAACCACTACACCATAACAGTTTATATATGGTGCACTAACTAACTGACCACTGTAAAGATCTGAAAGAGCTCTTTGAAAATTTAGGACATCTTTCTGGAACCTATTACTGTACATTCTGTCCCACTCCCACAACTGTATAAATATGCTTTAACCTGAGGCCGTAATACATCTTGGTAATGCATCTGAAGAAGTAGGTTTATAGCCACAAAAGCTCGTACAAATATAAAAACCAGTTAGTCTTAAAGGTCCTGCCACACTTTTTTTCCCTCCCCACTCCTCCCTCCTTTTTAAGACGCATAAACATCTCTTAGAAAAGTACAGTACAGTGGGTCATTCCTGGAGATATATAAACTCCACTTGGAGACTCTTTTTGGCCACTCTGAGCCTCTTTTATAGCTTTCTGGAATCCCTGTAGAAACCAGGGGAAGGGATGAAGGGAGCTGCATGGCATTATAGGCAATGCAGCCCATCATCATTCAAATGTCTTCCGTGCCTTTGCTCACTATGTCTCATTTTTAAAAGGAACCGTGTTCTAAAAATCTGTAATGTAATAATAATAATATAATAATAATAAAATTTATTTATACCCCGCCCATTGGTAATCCAATCCATAAACTGTAGGGGACAGCCATGCTCCACTTCCCAACCTATACCAATGAGGAGGAGGAATGATCAAGGAACCCCGTATGAACTGCAAGTATAAAAATCCCTTGGGATTTTTTTAATTGTCGTGATATAGCCTGGATTTTTTAAAAACATTCTGTGTGTGGAAACAAAATGTTGCTGCTGGTGCTGGGAAGTGTCACTGGACAGTCCAGGGACAACAGATAGATGGTCTAGTTGTTTTATTTAAAAAAACAACAACCCTGAGAACTTGAGCAACAAATATTGTACCCATTTGCGAGCCAGCGTGGCATAGTGGTTTGAGTGTTGAACTATGACTCTGGAAACCAGAGTTCAATCCTCAGCTGGGCCATGAAACCCACCAGTGACCTTGGGCAAGTCACACTCTCTCAGCCTCAGGGAAAGGCAATAGCAAACCTTCTCTGAATAAACCTTTCCAAGAAAACCCCATGATAGGTTCACCTTAGGGTTGTCATAAATTGGAAACAACTTGAAGGCACATGTCACACACACACAGACACACATATCCACAAGCGACATTTAATTTGTCTGGAGGAAACCTGCGAGTGCCATGCCGTCCTCACTTGACAGCAGGGCACTGTTTGCCAAGGCAAATATAATGATATGATATCTGATGGGAGACAGCCTCCTAGAAGCACAAATGTCATTCATAGTGACACAAGCACTCTGGGGGAGCATGCCAGCAGTTTCTTATCTTTTTATATGCATATTGGGAATCATGAAAGGGATAGCATGCCTGAGAGTGTCTTTAAAGATGCGGTCAGAGCCAATCACCTGAAAAGCACCCTAAAGGTCCAGGCCAACTGGTTCAACAGGTGGAACCCAGTCCTGGGAGTGGTTGACTGCCCCCTATGAATCATCTTATCATTGTGTTTGGTGCAAAACTTCACTTGTGCCAGTCAGGCATGTCAACAACTGCCAAAATAAATCTAAATGAGAAATGAAATAAGGACTTTATCACCTGAGTTTCAGCCTCACCTCAGTCTTACCACAACTGTATTATTTTAAAAGAACAGAAATATACCAGGTTTGGAAATTTTATGATCACACCCCTCTTCAATAACACGATGGGGACCATCAACAGTCCCCCACACTCTCTTCCACCTTCTCCCTTAACCTCATCTTCCTGCCCTATGCATTACTTCCTTTTTTCTTTTTTAATTTGTAACACAATTATTGATTCATAGGAATGTGATTTAGAAGATGAAGAAGGAAGAAAGAAAGAAAGCTGCTTGGGAAAAGTGAGGGGAAGGGGAAGATGAGGAGAGGAGGAGACTGTCACCAGCAAGTACAGTGGGCCCTAGGTATCCCCTGGGGTTTGATTCCAGAACCCCACCGTGGATATCAAAATCTATGGATACTCAAGTTCCATTATATACAATGGCATAGTAAGATGATGTTCCTTGTATAAAATGGCAAAATCAAAGTTTGCTTTTTGGAATGTATTTATTTTTAAAATATTCGCAAGCTGTGCATGCTTGAATCTGAGGATAAGAAGTTGGTGGATGTGGAGGGCTGACTGTACTCAATATCAGGAATGCTGCAGACTTTCACTTATCACCCTTGTGGAGTAAGGAGGTGGCAGTGCAATTGGCCACTTATTGATGGTTCTTCCACTCAATGAAAAAAATGCCCTCTAACAATGCTTTAGTGGCACAGCAGCAATGGGTCAGAGGTGATGCTGTGCAACAGGTACTGCCAAAAGCACTGTTCTCTTGCTAAAATTGCTATTTAAAGCCTGCATGTGATAAAGTCCGATGTGTGTGCATTCAAGCATTAGGACATCCAAATAAAAGGTTCACATCATGGCAAGGCTGTTAGGATAAACACTGGTATCCTGGTATTGACAGCAATTCAACATAGGAATTTTGTAAGTTTACTTAAAACACTAGTTAACACGAGAACCCTGAGTACATCAGTTATGGTGATTAACATGAGTGCATAAGTAAATTAGTGTTTAATTTAAGAATTTAAACTGAGGCCACATATGCATGGGCAAGGATAGGGCATCCTGGCCTTGCAGCTGCCTGAATCTCCCCCCATTACCTGGCCCTCCCTTTCCATGCCACAGCAGTTGTCTGCACAGGCATCCCACTGAGCTGCCCAATTGGCCACTGCCACTGTTTGTTGCTCGCTTCTGAAGTCAGCCTCACGCACATGGCTGGACGCCTTGTTCTGAACTCAGAACTAGTGACCCATGCCAGACATTTCAGGTGGTTCAGCTGGACATCCATGCAGACAGCCATGGTGGCTCAGGCTCCAGATCTCCAGATGATCCTGAGTATCATGTATATTTTTTAAAAAAATTAAGGGTATTATTTCCCAGTTCTTATCAGACATTGTCTGAACTGCTTGCACCAGAACTGAGGTTTGACACTGTCCAA